CTGTCTCTCCCATTCATGCATTCTCTCTCTCTAAAATAAATAAATAATAAATAAATCTTTTTTAAAAAATCAGAATCTTAGGAGTGGGGAAAAAAACCCAAAAGATGCCTATCCTGGTGTTTCTCAAACACAATCCCATGAATGGCCTGTGTTGGAATCACGTAGGGTGCTTAATAAAAATTACAGATTCCAGGGCCACACTGCAGATGCTCAGAAATTTGTGTCTTTTGCAAGCTCCCCAGATGCTTTGGATGATAACCGTGTTTGGAAACCACTGACTCAGTCCACTGTTCCTGCAACTTTTCTGTGCCTTGGAAGCCGTCTTATTCAAATGCAGGCCTGTGTCAGGGGTGGGGTGCAGCCTGAGACGCTGCATTTCTCATGCTGATGCTGCTGGTGTCAGGCCCACGCTGTAATAAGTAGCAGGACCGTTCCCCAACCTCCTCCATTTCACTGAGGACACAGACTGAGCTGCAGGCATGGGGGGTTAGAAAACAATGAGGAGGGCCGGGCGTGAGCCGTGGCAGGGAAGCTGTCGGCCCAACTGGGCCAGCATGATGGGAAAGCCAGCCCCGGAGCCAGCAGAACATCCCCACGGGGCTCTTTTCTTACCAGACAACAGTCTTCAGACTTGTTTCCTAATGACTGTTGCAGGCAGATGATGGGAAATCTTCAGAACTACTCCAGGCAGTGCCCGCAAAATGGAGAGTCGAGCCCCTTGCACAGATCCCCTGTCCGAGCGCTGGCACCAGCCGGACCGGAACTGTCCCTCACGTTGGCAAGACCAACGTTACATCTACGTGTCAACTGCTGGTACTTATTGCAGAGTGCTCACCAAGCACCCGGTCGCTTCCTCCCACGTCCCCCATGCGAGCACATGCAAGCGCACGCGCGCGCGCGTACACACACACACACACACACACACACACAGAGGCACCACTTGGCTCCGAGAAAGTTGCAACAGGAAAGAGCCAGCCTGTCTCTTGAGGGCTCGGGGCTAGACATCTTTTATCCAGGCTCACGTTCCCTCGGGGCACTTCTTGTCCAGCCCTCCCGGCAGCAACCTGCGGGGCACAGGCGTGGCCCCAAAGCACCTCGCCTTAGCTGCACCTCTTGTTTTTGCCCTTGGGGCTTCTGGCTGGCCTTCTGTGGGATGCCCACACAGCCGACTCAGCCGTTCTAGCATCTGTGCAAACCTGGAGATGCGAGGAAATGAGCACTCCCTGGGGCAGCCCTTGACCAGGGGGACTGCGAGCTGATAAATGAAGATTGCCTTCTCTCATGTGGACGGTTGCTTGCCCCCATAGGGAACCAGCTGAACAAAGCTCGCTCGCATCGGCTTCCACTCCTTCTTCAGTTCACTCTGCCCGTCTCCTCATTCCCATCCCCTGAGGTCACTTCCTAAAATAAACTACCTGCAGGTTAGCTGTTCTGGGCTCTGCTTTTGAGAACTACCAAACTCGTGCATACCGCAAGTAGTAGTGGCTAAATCCTGCAGAGCAAGGAAAGAGGAAGCTGGAGACTCCAGAGAGGGCCCACAGTGACCCAGAACATTTGAGACTCCCTGAAGCCAGCAGTCCTGCCCGAGGCTCACGCAGCTGTGCAGGATTGTTCATGGAACAAATTATGTTGTGTCCAAAAAATAAATTTAAGATCCTCCGTGAGATGTTGGAAACAAGGAGAGCTAAAGAATGAGGCTTGTTTCGCCTGGAGAGAAGGCAAAACTCAGTTCCTTAAAAAGGGCTGGCTCTCAGTCTGAGCTGACAGAAGTAAGGATGAGGGGAGATAGGCTTACACTGGGGCTGAAGGGCCCCTGCAACCATTGTACCCTACCAAGGGGGAGAGGGTGTCTCTGGGGGAAGTCATGAGCTCCCTGTCCCTGGGGGCATTCAGCTTGTGATGGGGGGAGGGCAGACTTATCAGGGATAATGTGTCGGGGATTCATTTTTCAGAAAAGAGCTGAAAAATTGTTTCTTATCCAGGACCCTCTTTAAAAATTATGGACACTGGGGTGCCTGGGTGGCTCAGTCGGTTAAGCGACTGCTTTCAGCTCAGGGTCACCATCCCAGGGTCCTGGGATTGGCTCTCTGCTCAGCGGGGAGCCTGCTTCTCCCTCTGTGATCTCTCTGGCTTTCACTCTCTCTCAAATAAATAAATAAAACCTTTAAAAAATCATGGAGACTTCTCCAACCAAGATTTTTAACAGTATGGCTCTGCCCCAAAAGAAGGAATATTGATTGACCTGTAACTTCACAAATTCCACGCCCCCTCCCCCCCATCTACACAATGACATACACAACTGAATTGTATTTTAGTTCTGAGGTTTTTCCAGAGCAGGCTGTTTTCCCATGAGGTCTTAGCACCACCTAGTGGCTCATTAGTCCATTGCACCATCTGCCTGGGTTAAAAACAGGGTCGTACAATTTACTATCAACACGCTCTTTGATTAGCACAGCAATTTAACAAAAACATACTAAATACCAGGCGTGGGTTAGGGACTCAGCTAGAGCCTGGGGTGCAACAGTAATCAAATAAGATATGGTCTCCCCTTCATGAGGCTCACAGCCTAATGGAGTAGACAATAAAAAGTAACCAAAGAATTATTATACGTTGTGATGTCATTCAAGAAATAAACCCTTCTGTGACAGAAAATAATGTAGGCAGGAGAAGGCCGCTCTGAGAAATATGAAATCAACTTGGAAGGATGGGATGAGAGGGGACAGGGGTGCAGAAAGTGGGGGAGGAGGGGCAAGAACGTTCCACGAACACAGCACAGCACATGCTTGGTCGTCCAAGTCCTGGAGGCACCAAGGGCTTTGCTATTCAAGAAACACAAAGACCAGCGATTGGAGGGAGAAACTAGGAGAATTCCATGTTTATAAACATTTCCTGAAGTGAAAGCACACAAATGGTTAGGGTGGATTCTTCCAGAACAGTACCTGGTTAAATTTTAATTTTTAAAAAGCGGGGAAAGGAAATGCCATTACGTGAACTTGGCTGTTCATGCCAATCCTGCAGGACCCTACTGAGGGCCATCAGTGTCAGCCACGCACCCCACTCAAGACAGCCTGCCTCTGCTCCCACCCCACATGCTTCCTCATCACTGATAGGCTTCTGTGTCCTTACCTAACTACACGGGAACCTCATATTAAAAGTCTAGAACAGTGGTTCTCAATCCTGGCTGCAAGTCACCTCGGGTGAATCTGTGTCTGGGTCACACCCCTCACCAGTTAACTCAGCATCTCTGGTATGTGGGTCCCAGGCGCCCAGGCTTGGAAAGCTCCCCAAGGGATTCCAAAGTGGAACCAAGGTTGAGAACAGATGTTCTGAAAGGATACTCCCCAAGAGAAAACAGAAGAGACCTTTTAAGAAATACCGCTGTTTGGGCCCGACCCAAGATGGCTTTCTGGGCCGTCAGGTGATTCCAACGTGCAGCCAGGAGTGAAGTCACGGTCGTCAAAAGGACAGCACCTGTGCCTCTGAGTTCTGGAGAGGCCCGCTGTGGCCGGGATCGCAGTGTAACTGGGGGTGCTACTCTTGAGTGACCCACAGTTGGTCTTTTACTACGACCTGCTGAGCAGCCCAGTCCTGCCCAGTTAAGACCACGATGGAGTCCATCCAGCCGTCACCTGCCCCCCTCACTTCCCACTGGCCCACCCTAGGCATGCAGCAGCCAAGTCAGCAATGCTGCAGTGAGTTCCCGATGGGCCCATTACCTACGAACTTCCTCCTGCCAATAAAAGGAGGATGAACATTCGGGTTCATGCTAACAAAGCTCCATAAGGAACTGGCAACGTGCACTTAACCTGAGAGGTACTGTGTGGATTTTTATATGAGCAATTACTGACGCTATCTTTTTTTTAAGATTTTGTCAGAGAGAGTACGAGCAGGGGCAGCGGCAGGCAGAGGGAGAAGCAGACTCCCTGCTGAGCAGGGAGCCTGATGCAGGACTCGATCCCAGGACCCTGAGATCATGACCTGAGCCGAAGGCAGACGCTTAACCAACTGAGCCACCCAGGTGTCCCCTGACGCTACTTTTCTTAAAAGAAAACTACTGGCCCACATCTCAAGGCCTAGGAGGGTATGTACCAGAAACGTAACGGCGGTTACATCTGGGTGCTGAAAACCCAGGTGATTTTAACTTTTGTTGTTGTTGTTGCTTATCAGCATGTTCTAGGTTTTTCTATGATGAATCTGCATTAATACAAAAATATTACTTGTGTAATATTTTTTAAAAGCTGACCATAAAGAATCAATTCTGTCTCTTACACAACTCAGGAGGTGTGTAGCTGGTCTCCAGGCGTTCAGCTCACAACTCTGCTTTTTAGGACACTTCCTGACTTGGCAAACTCTGGAGATTTTGCCCCCATGACAAGAGGCCAGGGAACACATCATACTTTTTTGGTAGTTCTGCAGCACTGGTAGGATCAAACTAAACACGTTTATTCATTTTTTGTTGTAGAGAATAAGACCCTTCCTGTGTCTTTTCATGGGAGAAATGGATTCTTCACTGCATGTGTGCAGATTTTGTCAGTGTTTTTGCAAAGTATATTCCATGAAACTAGTGTTCTCTGGACAAGAGGTATGTGAAAAGAAGAAAAATGGGGGAGTGGGGGAGTTCTGTGAAAGACTGACTGATTTCCTTCCTGCAGGTATCTGCAGGGCCTTGACTACACTCACGCATTGTGAATCTGCAGTGGGAGAATGTGGACTACAGCTCTCCCCAAATTTATCTGGCCATCACTTTTCAGGAAACATCTCCAGGGACCAGCCCTCCCACCAACAGATTTTGGGAAACACAAGTCTAGCCGTTCAGCACATAGTTCTTCGGCCTCCTACCACAAAGCAGAGTAAGGGTGCCCTGGCCTCTGTCCTGAGTGCAGGCAGGGTGCACAGAATGAGGTTAGGTGACTCACAGCACGCTCCGACTTCCGTCATCCAGCAAGCTAAGGCACAGATGAAGCGGCTTAGAGCCAAGAAAACAAACGAGGAATGGCCCAATAAACATTCACAACTGAACATCAGGTGACATTTTATTCTGTTTACAGACACCGCTAAGTTAGACTGGTTTTTTTTTTTTTTTTTTTCCTGTCTCATTTGGGTTGGACACAAATACACCCAGAGGCACGGTGAGAGGAAACACATCAGACATTTCATTAGCTCCTGTAATCCGTGCTCTCTCTCTCCGCACCCCGTCTGCCCCGGAGACATTTCTACCAAGTGCGACTGCAAAAGCCCAATACATTTACACGAAATAACGCCTAACTGTACATTTAAATAAAAAAAAACAAACCCCATTCAGGCTCTGCTAGAAATGTGTGGTAGGAAGGCAAGGGTCTGAGGGTGTGAGACGCGCAGCGTTAACTAAAAGTGAATGAGCACCTAATTTCTCCGCAAGCGAAAAAAGCAATGACTGCACTCCTGTGTGGGACAGGATGAGAACCCGCTCAAATGCCAGGTGGACATCGTGACTGCATGAGTGTCCGAAAGAGGCTTGTCGTTTTAATCATCGCCTTGCAGAGGTAAAGACTGCACTGAACAGCCACGTTCCCCAAAGTGTGTCCCTGAAAACACTGGTCCTACAAAGTTCTCCCTGCAAAAGGAGTTCGGGAATCGAAAGATTTAGAAAATACTGTAGGCTGTTATCCACTTCCTGGAGAGGCACAATGCATGTTATCACATGGAAGGTTCTAGAAATCCCTTAAAAAGAAATGCTTAGCTTTGTTTAACCCAGTTTCCCAAATCAATCTGATGTTAGAATCTTTTCTTTCTTTTTTTTTTTTTAGATAACACATTTCATAGAACATATTTTGAGAAACCATCCTCTATGGCTTGGAAAAATTTTTTGCAGAAACAAAAGCACAGAAAAACCAAGTAACTCCTAGGATCATGTGCTTGTTGGTCAACAGCAAAGAGGACAATGGGTCCTAAAGATCAGAGCCCCATTCTGATTCCGCCCCAACACCTCTGCCCTACACCGAGCCTGCCTGAAAATAGGCAGCAATCAATTTTCCATGGTTTCCTTCCACATGGTGTCAAGTGTTAGGCATGCTGATTCGGGGACGGACTCGAACATGGTCCAGATGGGGGAACCCTATGTCATGCACAGAGACCAAGGGAGCCTTTCCCTTTCCTGTAACAATCAAGCCATTAAACAACCATTGTTGCTTATCCCGTGTCTACAAGGCTTTTCAAATACACTTGACAGCCCTTTGTTCCTGATAAAAAAGGAACAAGAAAACATACAGAATCTATTTTCAGCAAGAATGACACAGACCGAGAAATCAAAATATAAAAGCTTTTGGCTATCCATGCCAAATCACTTTCAAGTGTTACAGCAAGGACGAGGAAAGATGGAGGAAATCCATGAGATTACCATGGATTGCGGGAATGGTGTCAGTATTCCATCATTTGCGTCATACATCATCTTCATTCTCGTTTCCAAGGAACTTCATGTGCTATTTCAAAGCAGAAGATGGCAACAACACAACTCTCCAATGGGGGGACTTGGTAAACAGTTAGTAGGTCTCCGTTGCCAGGACGTGCACGAGCGCTCACACCTCCACGGCCACTCTCGCAAACCGATACTGCGGGGAGGCGGGTGCCCTCAGCAACACGAGGCCCCTCTCCGCTGCCGCCTGGCCGGACAGCATATCCAGCAAGCCCGTCAAGCTAACAAACCCCAGGCCTTCTCCGCCGCCGACGGCCATGGAAAAGTCTCCCTGCGTGACAAAGCCGAGGAGAACTCGGGAGCAGTGAGAAGTCAGCACCGGGAGGGGGCCTGACCACAAGCCCAGGGTCAGAGCTGGGTGCCCGGTTGCAGGGTGCGCCCCAGCCAGACCCTCAGGCTCAGCACGCGCCTGGTTCTGCCTCTTCTGTACTTTCTTCTTCTCTTTCTGTTTCCGGATCTCGCTCTTGAAGGGGTCGCTGTGCTTGGGTTCCTGGGGCCCACAGTATAGACGATCCCGACGGAGCTGGAGGATGTCCTCCTCGGCTGGGACACAGATCATGGAGTGCGGCTCGGGGCTGCCCTTCCTCAGCAGGGCCAGGCTGACCCACACCAGGGCCCTGGGGAAGTGGTCCAGGAGGGACAGGCAGGCCGCTCTGGTTGGTGCTGGCTGCCCGCTGCCAGGAGCCCGCCGGGCTGCCCACCTGTCCCTGGAGCTGGGCCCACACCAGGTCGACAGCTGCTTCAGCCATTTCCTACTCCTACGTGAAGTGGGAGACACACGTTTGAGGAGATTTTGTTCGGAGAGAAAACACGCAATCAGAACATTGGGTACTGTTGGAGTTAACTTGATTTTTTTATACTCTATGTGGGAAAGCGTCAAAACGGTAATTTTTTTTTTAAATTGAAAACAGACATTAATACATCTTTGTCAGGATATTTTTCTTATGTGTCTACTATTCTTAGATGCTGAAGGACTAAAGTTTTCAGAAGCTGAAGGTAGAGAAAAATAAGAATCTAAGGCTGCGAGAGACAGTCCTATGGAATGAAGGAAGGATAGGAAACTAGGAAGTTACTGCACAGAAAAGAAGTACAAGGCAAAGAGGGAGGAGCACTTTCTAAAACCTGAAGCACAGAACAGAGGGTAAGTGAAGCACCATGGAGCAGGCAGCCAGGAACACACTTCGTACAGTGGGCCCTCTGACAGGACGGTGGGGCACCGGGTCACTCCTAAACTCAGGTCATTCAAAAGGAGCCAGAAGAAATCGACTTTAGGGATGTAAAGGGAAGAACACTTGCTCAGAGTTCGCCGAGGGAACGTGCCTCGCAGGGGGACGACTTTGTCAGCAAAGACTAAATGAAATAGAAAACAACTGCCTTGGTTTATGTCTGTGGATGACAATACTTTAAGTCACCTGGTCAGTTGGTATCGTGCCCCAAATCAAATGTGACTCGGCTGTGTCCCCAGGCTCTCTGTGAGACACGGGAGGACTGGCTTGCCCCCCCAGAGAGCCCAGATGTTCCCTCGGGCTTTGCATAAAGGAACAATGAGAACATTTACATCCTGTAGCCTGCTCAGGAGGAGAACAATCTAACCCGCACTGGGGGTCGTGGGCACTTACCGCAGAACGCAGGGGAGACTGCCGGTGGCATCCTGGCCCGCTACCCACTCAGTCCCCAGCCGGGCCGGGCACTCTGTGGCCACCCCTGCTCGGGGCTTGCTGGAACTGCTCTGAGATGAGCCCCCTTCATCAGACCGCGGATCCGTGTTTTCAGGTGTGGGAGCGCAAGACAACTTGTCTCTCCTCAAGTCACTCTCCTCGCCACTTGGAGAGGAGGCTCCAGAGGATTTCTCTTGGGCCCTGACTCTTAACTCCCACTCCTGACTTAACTGCTCCCAGGGATAGCGGAAAGGTGCCAGGGTGCCAAGCTTCACATAGTTGGGCCGTTTTGCAGGAGGGCGCCTAGTGAAAATCAAGGAGGAGAACCAATTTTGAACAATTTAGGATCGGTACCATTAAAATAATTATGGCCATTGCACTACATCTCTACTTGAAAAACAAACCTACAAAACAAAGTTTTCCAAGAAATATGATAATAACAACCAACTCTACTGGCCAAGCTTATTTGTTTCCTTCGGTTTTACTTTCAAAAGGTAATACACCCAGCAAAGCGGCCCCGTGTGGCCACTGCACAACTCTAGGGGGTGCCCTTCCTGAAAGACTGCAAGTTCACGGTGCCCCTGGAGTCGTACTGCGATGTCCCTGCACGTGACAGCATTCTAAGTTCGAAGGGAACAGAAGGGGTGGCGGTGAAGTTTCTCCCCCACCTGACCTGTAGCTGGTGAAAAGCGCCCCCGGGGTACCTGCCTCACTCGGAGACCTTTAGAAGGAAATAAATGACCCAGCTGCCTTATAGGAGACCACGTCATTATCTGTTTCATAATATATCCTTCCAGAGACATTTTATGGACATATGTGCAGATATGTACATATTTCTTCCCATTTTTTTTACCTATTTTACACAAGCGGTGACATACCAGATACAGTACTTCTTGCTTAACTGTTTTCATTTCACAAAGTACCTTGGAGATCATTTCATACGAGTACATGAAGAGATCCCTCATTCTTTTGTAAAAGGCTGCCTACCTATTCCACTGCTGGATTATACCCTGGTTGATTTAGATAGTCCCCTACTGCAGGACACTTTGGTATTTTCACACTTTCACTTCTACGAACAATGCCGCAATGAATGACCTTGAACATGTCACACAAGCACAAGTATATCTGCAGGGTAAGTGCTTGGAATGGAACTGCTAAAGCAAAGACTATTAGCATTTGCAATTTTGAGAGAGATTTCCAAACTCACAGGGTGAGGGCAACTGACTTTTTTCAGCAATGTATGAAAGAAGAAGAACCTTTGAGAAATACCACAAGCTAAAGAGAACCAGGTCCCGAAAAGGGAGGGAGCAGCCGGGCTACTGGCCATTCTGGCCTGGGGGACTCTTAGGGAGTCCCAGAAACCCTCCTCAGACTGAGAGTCTCCTGTGGGACAAGCCCTGACATTCCTTCCCTCACATGCTTCTTACTATGCGCCATGCCCCAGGGCCCCAGATGGACATGAACCCGCAGACTTAATTGGGAGATTGGTTTGAGCCTCTACTCTGGAGTTTGAACCAAATGTATTCTGGCCTCCCAAGAGGGACAGCTGGTAAAAAATGCTCCCAGGGTACTTGCTTCACCTGAAGACCTTTAAATGGAAATAAATGAGCTATTTACCAAAAAAAAAAAAAGAAAGAAAGAAAGAAAAACAAAATGGTGAAAAATGCTTAAAAGTATTCAACATCACTTGTAAACAAACAAAAAATTAAAACAGTAAGATGTCACTTTTTCCACCCAACAGTTTTATCAATATTAAAAGCTGGTAATATCCTATGTTATTGGGAAGAGGGAAAACAGGCACGCTTCTAACTTGAGGATACTAATGAAATCCTAAATTAATATAAACAGCAGTTTGTCCATAGTACAAAAAATTCCTGGGGTGTGTATCTTTTTTTTTTTAAACGAGAAATCTTATTTATGGGATTTAGTCTAAGGGGGGCAGATGTCCTCCTGACGCCCCCAGACCACTTTTCTCCTTCCTCCTCCAAGACCACAGCTCCCCCTAAGCACGCGCCCTCAGACAGACCACAGGCTCTCCTTCCTCAGCCAGGTCCTCCATCAGCTGCCCACACACCCCCTCCACGGGCCACACCGTCTTCCCCTCCATCTTGACTCTTGTCACTCAGCGGCTTCAGCATCTATGTAGATCAGCCTTCTAACGCCCTGGCCTACCAGAAACTTCATGTCCTCATTTCCCATCTTTTACTTCACCCTAGACACCCACTCTCCCAGTCGCATCTTCGTTTTGGTCACTGCCATCACCTGCTCCACCTTAAAGTCTCAATTTCAAGTATCTACCCTCAGAGTGAGGCCTCCCATTCCAGCCCGTTTACCCCTCCCCCACCACAGCTCCTCAAGCACCGGAACTTACTACTCCTTTACAATCTCCTCACAGCTCCCCACCGTTCTCGCACGTCTCTTGTTTTTTTTTTTAAGATTTATTTATTTGACAGACAGAGAGAGAGAGAGAGCACAAGCAGGGGGAGCAGCAGAGGGAGAGGGAGAAGGAGGCTCCCTGCTGAGCAGGGAGCCCGATGTGGGACTTGATCCCAGGACCCCGGGATCATGCCCTGAGCCGAAGGCAGACGCTTCACTGACTAAACCACCTAGGCACCCCTCACCCATCTCTTCTTGAGTTTAAACTCTCCGGTTTGTAGGACAGTCACTCCCTTACATGCACCCTCAACTCCCTCCCCCTGGCAAAGCCCACCCTGGTTACATCCAGCCCTCCACCTACCCCATGCCAGCCCTGGATGAGCAGAACAGGGCTGGGGAAGAATACCCAGAAGCCCTGAATGGTCTTACTGTAAACATGAAACTCAATTGCACTCCCTGACATTTCTCCAGTCAATTCTATCTTCCGCGCTTCTGGAAAACGGTCTATATTGATTCCTCTCTCCTCGAATCTCCAACAGCCTCTCTCCCCTTCTTATTCCTAAATGATAACCTCACCTCTTTTTTCACTGAGAAGACCATCACCAACAGGAGAGTTCTACCTAATCTCTGGGCCAGAGTCTACCCTACCTAAATCTGTATTCTTATCTCAGAGTCAGCCTTCCAGCCTACCGAAATGAGCGATCTGAGCCTGAGCCTATGGAATACCACCCCCACTTCCCCACTCAAGGGCTTTGCTCTTGCAATGTTAGCCTCCCTCCCCTCTGCTGGATCCCTCCCACCAGCCTAGAAACATGTGCCTCCATCCAGAACATAAGCTCCATGAGGAAAGGAACAGATTTTACTTGCCTTCCCCTGAGGTAGCCCCAGTGTCTAGAAGGCGTATGACACATAGTAGGCTCTAAATAAACGTGTTAAATGAATGAATAAATCAGACAAACAGGTAAAGATGCATATGGAAAGCTGTTCACAGAAGCGCATAGCAAAAAATTAGAAATAGTCTAAAGGGCCACTGAGGAATTACAGTTCATCCATACGGGAGTCCTGGATGCAACTGTTCAGTTCTGTTTTGAGCAAGGGTTGGCAGATGATGACTCACGCCAAACCTGGGCAACTGTCTGCTTTGATATCACCCATGAGCTAAGAATGGCTCTTATGTTTTGAAATGGTTAAAAAAAAAAAAATTATTTTATGACACATGAAATTATATGAGATTCAAACTTGTGTGTCCATGAACAGAATGAGGCTGGCCCACAGCCATGCCCATTCATTTATGTGGCATCTGTGGTTGTCTTTGTGCCACAAGGCAGAGCTGAGCTGAGTGGCTGCCATGGAAACCAAAGGGCCCACAAAGCCAAAAATATTTATCATCTGGCCTTTTACAAAAAAAGTTTGCCAATACTTGGTTTAGAGTCACATTTACTGATATGGGAAAACTATCCATAATAGATAGCTAAATAAAAAGAGCAGGTTTTGAAATAGTATATGTAATATAATCCTTTTCCAAAAAAATTTGTACCTAAGAAAAATTTGTATGGGTAAAGAAATCTAAAGGGTGAGAAATAAGTATTATTGTCAATTATTACTTAACAAACACATAGAAGACTCTGCTACGTATTCTGGGTGGCACAAAATACACGATCACTGCAAGAGCCCGTAAGCCAGCAATCCAGGAAAGTATCCCTGTCCTTCCACTCACTCATTCATTCACCCGTCACTCGACAAAGTCTGAAAACCTAGCACTGCCTGCCTCTGTGGTTGCAGGAGAGCACAGTCATGGGGCTCCTGGTCAAGGAACTACAACATCCCACCATCTCCTCATTCATCAGTCAACAAAGAGTTATTAAGGACACCATGCACCAGGCACTGGCTAGATGCCACTACAAACAAGAGAGTCTCTGCTTCTGGGAGCCCAGGGCCGAGTAGCAGATCCAGGCTCTCAACAGCAGCATGCACTTCACAGGATAAAAGACGTAAAGCCCTTCGCTGGCCACTCCCCCAGTAAGAGAAAAGAAAAGAAAAAGAAGTCTAGATGGATAGATACCAAAATGTAAAAATAGTACTTCTCTCTCTGGATGGAAGGAATACACCAGTTTACAAAGCATTTTTACACACTGCCATAGTTTCATTAAAATTTCATAAATATGTATTACCTCTGTAACTGGTCATAAAAAAACACAAATTCTATTTTGAGGGGACAGGGGCTGGGAGTGTAAATCTCGAACAAGCATCTGAAACTCAGGTCCACAGTTTAGGCATGCACCATCATCAACGTAAGCAAATGACCATGGGTAGGGTCTGTAACCTGGACAAGCCTACCAGAGCCACATATAAGACAATCTCCTAACTTCATTATGTCTTGATTATGTGAACTTAAGGAAAAGTCTATGAAAACTCCACGTTATATAAGAGTTACCAAAGCCATTCCAAATATCACTGGCCAACGCTGAGTAGGCCCTTCTCTTCCTCGTAAGACCTTAGGAAACTAGAGAAGCCGGTTTCGTACCTTTTGTACTTTTCAAGGAGATTCTTGGCTTGCTCTTCAGCAAACACAACCCCAGCTGGGCAGTCTGGGAAATCACTGGGAATGTCAGGTGACCTTTTATACTGTGAATGCACCACAGATTCTTTTAACCCACCAACTCTTGCGCCTCGATAGATCTAAAAGAAATGTCAAAGATATCCTATTAACATACCAACTTACAGTAAAATTAGTGCTTAAGGTTTGTATGGAGAAAATGGGAAACAACCTAAATGCCCATCAAAAAGAGAATGGGTAAGTGTGAGATAATCCTACAGTGGGTTATACAATAGCAAAAATGATGAAAGAGCTTCACCAATCGACATGGAAAAATCTCAACGTTGAGTGAATATAGTAAGTTGGAAAAGCATACATATGGTGAGGTATGTAACATTTAAAAACACGTCGAATATAGTTATTTTATTTGGGAATACAAAGCATACTTGATAAAGCTATAAAAATAGACAAGGTCGTGACAAACACCAAAAATAGTAATAGTGATTCTTTTAGAAGGAGGATGGGAAATGGAACTGGAGAGAGAGAGTGCTTCCAATAAATCTGTAATGTTTTATTTCTTAAGCTGGATGGTGGGTGAAGGGTACACAGGTATTCATTATATCAGTATCTATACTTTTTTGCATGCTTGAAATAGCTCATAATTTAAAAATTAGAATTATTTAAAAATATTCCCATTCTTTTTATTATTATTATTAAGATTTTATTTATTTATTTGCAGAGAGAGAGAGCACAAGCAGGAGGAGCGGCAGAGGGAGAGGGAGAAGCCTGAGCCAAAGGCAGATGCTTAATCAACTAAGCCACCCAGATGCCCCTATTATTTTTTATTAAGTAAGCTCTACACCCACCATGAGGCTTGAACTCACGACCCCCAGATCAAGAGATGCATGCTCTACCGACTGAGCCAGTCAGGAGCCCAAGAAATATTCCCATTCTTAAATGATTAACCGAATGTCTCTTGTACTAGGCATAATTGCTAAAATTAATTACCTATGTGAATTTAACAGTCTTACATGTCTTTTATACTCTCTAGTTCAAAGTAATATTTAAACTATCGAGAAGAAAAAAAACCACATTGGATTTTAATAAAATTTTTAGCTGCAGTTAATAGGAAAATACATGTTCAGCACTTAAAAAATAAAAAGTGTATTCTATACATCTATAAAAATTAGAAAATTACAAAAACTGCTTTTAAACTATAACAAATTCTTTTGAGTAAAAAAAACACACACGTACACACATAACAAAAACTACCTCAATAGTAATTGCCATTACTATTCAAAAATCAGGACACTTTCAAAATCTCAAAAATTCACACTTATGTTGTCCCAACTCTTATTGATGACAACCTGGCTCAGGGGATGTTATGAAGTATCTTGTATCAGAATTATAGCTCTAGGGGTAGAAAAACAGCACTCGATTTCTAAGTGGGGCATGAAATCTGGAACTCTTTTGGCACTTGGAATGGACTAGGAATGTATTTTACACAGTTACAGTGGGAATGGAAAAGGAACTTACAAATGGAATCCAGAAAGCCATGCCCCAGCCCTTCGGGAGCAGGACGTCCCAGCCGCTTCCCCAGCCTCGTCGCTCATCACCCGTCACCTTTCCTGGCTGCTGAATCAGAAGGATAGGTATCCTGGATTCCTGGGGACCTAGAACAAGCTGTGACCCGGGCACCAGCAATTCACTTCTCTTCCGGTTTAAATCCTAAAGCGGAAGAAAATAATTCAAGACCAACAACCCTAATTTCCTGGGAGATTCTACTGGCTCTCCCAACAAGCAGCTTTAGAAAGTCAAATGCTCTTTCAAAAAACAAGAAAAAAATGTTCTCAATAAATAAATGGAAGCCATTTGAAATACATGGTATTCTTCCTATAATGATTTTCCTCTATACGATCGCTTTGGTAGAAAATGCCAAATTATCCTTTTTTTTTAAAGATTTTATTTATTTATTTGATAGAGAGACAGCAAGAGAGGGAACACAAGCAGGGGGAGTGGGAGAGGGAGAAGAAGCAGGCTTCCCACGGAGCAGGGAGCCCGATGATGTGGGGCTCGATCCCAGGACCCTGGGATCATGACCTGAGGCGAAGGCAGATGCTTAACGACTGAGCCACCCAGGCATCCCCCCCCAAATTATCTTAAATTTGAGCTGCAATATACCAGATGATTCAAAGTTATATAATAATTTACATCCATTCTGCTAATCTCTTATGTCAGGATTAGTTTTATATTTTGATGTTCAGTCCCTACGTTTACTTTGGTTAAGATTTGTTGTTAGGAGGTAAAAAAAAAAAAGGTACAAACAATAAACAACTTCTCAAGGAAGGGCAAGTGGGAAAACACTCTGGCTCTTGAGAAATTTTCTCACCAGGTCTTAAAGATTTAAAAGAGAAGATGCTATAAATTACTGTTATGAGGACTGTAGGGAGCAGTAAACAACAGCCTCTCGGACTTGTCTTGCCCACTGTAAAAAGAGATGAATGGGTAGGAGAGAAGCCTAGCACTCACAGGAGACACACACAAGAGACCGCCTCCACGTGGCCAAGTCGGCCTGCTACCTCACGGATGCTCCTCAAGCATGACCAAGTCCTGATTCTCCTTTTTCACCTCTCGTTGAGTTTCCACTACCATCTCTACACGGTGATAATAACTCCAAAATATCCATCTCCTTAGCCCTGACTTTTCCGCCTGGGATCAAAACCTGTCTCCTGGGCATCTACTCTGGGGAAGTCCTGATGACCTTCCAACCCAGTTTATCCAGGATTGAATTCATCTTTCCTACTGCATCCGCTCTCCTCGTGTGTTCCCCACCTAGCTGGGGGACTCACTCACTCATCCATTTACATATTTGCTCTTCATTCATTTACTCATCCATTCAGATATTTACTGAGTATATTTTATGTGACAAACACTCTTCTAGAACCTGGGAATACAACAGTGATAAATCAGGCTCTGGATCTCTTTTACCTGAGGTACCAAATCTAAGCTAGGCTGTTAGGAGCTAGTCTACAAGTCTCCTCCTTTCCCACTTCCCACCATCCAATCAACTACTGTGTCTTGTCAGATTTACCTTCAGGAGTATGTCTTCAACCCCAGGCCCTCCACTCCAGCCACACCGCCTCAACTCAGGTCCCCATCATTTCCTCAATTAAGGACTATTTCCAGGGTCTCTTTTAAGGCCATCCAACCACAAGTCCTCTCTCCAGATTCTCCACCCCTCCCCCCATTCTTAGTCTAATCTACCTTCCACAGTGCTTCCAGAGTGAAATCTGATCATGTCATGGCCCAGCTTAAAATCTTCAATGGTGTGCTATGTCCTCTGCCCAAATCCTTAAAATGCCTCAAGGTCTCTTATGCTCTGGCCCCTATTTATTTCTTCATCTCCTGCCCCATCCTCAACTCCAAGCTACTGACCCACTTAGAGATTACTGAACACATCATCCTGGGCCCTTGGACATACTGGTCTCACTTCCAGCAACCCTTTTCTTTACTGCAGCCTTGGCTCCTGGCCCCCAAAAAGTGTGGTTTAATTCTGTCCACCCATCTAAGAGTCAGCCCAAATATCAGCTCCTCCATCCAGGAGGCTTTCCCCAATTTCCCTATTCTGGGCTTGGTACCCCTTCTCTGGACTTCTTTGACCTGTACTTCCTCAAACATACCCTAGCCATCTATCCCATCATCTACTATGATCCCTGGTCCTGGTAGGAGCTCAATCATTGTGAAATTAAAGATAGAACGTTGAAGGGAAAAAGAAAACAATAAAAGAAAAACATGTATTTAAACCACGGAATTATCATTTTAAGAAAAAGTCTTTGTATGATGTAATGTATGGGGATTAACATAAGAATAAAAAAAAATTAAAATAAAAAAAAGAAAAAGTCTTTGTAGTAACTTTTTCTAGAGATTCTTCTTCTCTAAGAACAGAAAAAAATCCTAAGTAAGGGATCAATAAATCGAAAATAAAAGGAAGTTTATGGGATTCTATAAAGGATGAAAACTTTTACAGCATCTAGAGTGAGGAATTTCACCCTGTCTTCAGGACTTGACCAATAATCCTTACACGATTAGTTACCTGATCCGAGATTTTATTCTCTGTGACATTCTTACAGATAGCTTGGTTCCAAACAAAGCTATGCGCACAGTCCACAGGTACACCCTCCAGAAGCAGCTGTCTAACTTTCTCATCTAAGAGGGAAAAGAAAAAGCCTTCAAACTATATCCTTTAGATCAATGAAGTCAAACTCTAAACATTGCCGGTTGACCTTCTGTTACAAGAAAATATTTTGTAGGCGCTCACTGAACTTCTCTAGAAGAATTTATTTGACTAGAAACTAAGCTACTCCTATAGTTGGTTTCATAATCTGCAAATGAGCAAAGGCTCCTAAACTTATTTTTTTGACATTTATTTTTAGTGTATAAGATATAAATATCACGTTCAGCTGCATCTAAATAACTGCCTAATCCCACATTTAAGATAACCAAATTCTAGGAACCACTGAACGGGTGAACAATTTCTTTATAATGTGCTAGGACAGTACAAGCCATATTTTAACTACTGGTTTCAGGGCTCTTTATATCATTCCTGGCCCAACAGTTGTGAGCCAACAGATATCAGCTTTTTCTTCTGCTCTATTATTTCAAGTCTCTTATAATCCTTTTTCATTATTTATTCCTTCTGTAAAACGTTTTTCTCATTCCTTTAGAATGAGCATATTTTCTGTGAAATATATTGTTTCGTCCCTTTAAACTGCACCATGCCAAAAAGTACCCTAGTGGGAAGAAAGGAGAAACTTTTTCAATTATAAACATATATATCGATAGAAGAGATTTCCTACATGAAGTCATTGAAACATCAGAGAGGGGAAAATCTTCCAACTCTGTTTTTTGGACTGAAAAATTAAAAGAAAGAAAAAAGAAAGTCAGACAATTCATGTGTTTTGGCTAACGTCTAAACTGCCTACATTGAAAGGTCACACTCAAAGGCACATACCTGCGTGGGTCTGATGGCTGGAAAAAAAATAGGTTGGAAGCGACTGGGCCTTAAGGTGACAGATTTTAGGGGAGAACAAAGATAGAGAATATTACATTGATGAAAAGATCTGAGATCAAAGCTACTTAAAGCAGAAACTGCTTCTAGGCCGCTGGTGTCCCTCACAGAGAAAATAACCCACAGCATCTCGAGTACCAGAGCTGTGTTCTGTGAAAGCTCCCAGAGCCTGTCTAGGAGCCAATAGGCTCCGTTTCAAACAGCCTCTGTCCACCCACAATTGCTTTCCTGTGGAGAGCTGCCAACGATGTGAGTGACAGAACTGAGACTCTACAAAAGACAGGGCTGATACTGAGGATATAAAGGCACAGAAAGACCACCTCACCTTCAAATATTCTAAAAAATAATAATAAATAAATAGATGAAACAACGTAAGTAGGACATCCAGACAATGGAATATCATTCGGGGTTAAAAAGAAATGAGCTACCAAGCCATGAAAAGACATGGAGAAGCCTTAAATGCTTATTACATAGTGAAAGAAGATAATCTGAAAAGGCTACATTTTGTATGAGTCCAATGAGATGACATTCTAGAAAACAAGACTATGAAGACAGTAAAAAGATCAATGGCTTGGGGTGGGGGGAGAGAGAGAGGGGGAGGGAGGAATAGGCAGAGCACAGATTTTTAGAGCAGTGAAACTATTTTATGATACTATGACGATGGCTTCATGTTGTTATAAGTTTGTCAAATCCCACAGAATATAAAACGCCAAGAGTGAACCCTGATGGAAACTATAGACCTTGGGTGACAATGATGTCTCAGCACAGCTTCATGGAGGCTGTGCATATGTGAGGGCAGGGGAACAGAGGAACTTTCTATTCCTTCCACTCAACTTTGCTGTGAACCTAAAACTGTTCTAAAATATAAAGTCTATTTAAAAGAGAATAGAGTATGTCTGAAGGCAAAGGGAAGAGGCCCTTTTAGGTCAAGAGTCTAGTACTGAGGAAAAAAGAATATTACCAGCTGAGTCAGCATGTACCTAAGTGGGCCTAGAATGACTATTGATTCTGAATGTAATTCTAAATCCTTGGCCCAAGACTCAAATAAAGCATATTTTCTTTCACACCCAGGCAAAGGCCTCTAATTAACTACACAACTGCAGAATAACTTAAAGGTTGAAGGAAATAGCTTTTTTTCTCCTTTCTTAAATGTATTTGAGGATGGCCAAATTTTAAATGACAACTTTCTTAAGTTTTCCTTAAGGAGGCAAAGGAAATTAAAGTTCTCCTCATTTGGGAATCAAATAAACCAAAGTTAGTCTTCAAATCCACTCTATTTTAAATTAAACATGCAGAACAGTTAAAGGGGACCAGCTGAAGCTATGAGGGCTTTTTTCCCCAAGAACACGAACAGATAAGTCGGTACAAAATGACCAATAATTGGACACTTCACAAAGTCACCGCAGCTCAGTGCTCTCAAGGTGCCTAGGGTTTCACCTATCACTCTAAAGGCAACTTGATTGATTCTTCCTGTGTTTTGGGTACACACTATCAAAGAGTACATAAAGAGAAAGAATATAAAGAGCCCATGAGCACATGTAAAGCATTCTCTAAAGTAAATTCATCTCTGGATGACAAAGACTAGTTAAAATAATCTATCAGAGCAAATCAGCAGATGCTAAGGAGAATACATCCTAAAGTAACAGTACAACAGGAATTATATTTTAAAATCTCACATGGAAAACCAGTTACTTACATAGTGAAATGCTGTTGTTAAGTTGAAAAGATTTGCAAAAAAAAATTATTAATATTCAAATCAAAATCAAGGATCAAATGATCAAGTAAACTTTTTCAAAGCATCTAAAAATATGCATCCTTAGTTCAAGTTCTTCACTGAAAGAGTACTTCCTTCTCTACAGTCTTGCTATTCTACTCCCAATACTTCTGACACTCAAATGTGCAGCCATTTTCCCCAGGGCAAGCAGTCCTGCAACACCAGCTGGGTGTCCTACAATTCACATCGATTCTGACACTAACCTACCTGGAGATGGGTGTCAGATCCCACAGGTTAAGGGCTCAGTCCCACAAGACTGCCCCTTCTTTGGATGCCAGCTGGAAGTCCCTGGTCTCCTATACTTCTGAGCAGATGGCTAGAAATTGGTCTCACCTATGATCCCCTCCTCAAATGCAGTAAAATTTGCTAGAATGGCTCCCAGAACTCAAGAAAACAGTTTACTTACTCCATTACTGTTTTTTCTTTTTTTTTTAAATGAAAAGATTTAACTCAGAAAGGGCCAGATGGAAGAGATGCACAGGGTAAGGTATGAGGGAATGAGGTCCTGGCCCTCTTCGGACTCACCACCCTCCCAACATCTCCAAGTGTTCAGCAAACTGGAACTTCTCTGAACCCCAACTGTATAAGATTTTTACAGAGGCATAATCAAGTAGGCATGATTGATTAAATCATTGCCCGTTTACAATCAAACTCAAGCTCTCGCCCCTGTTCCCCCTCCCAGAAGCAGGTCTGGGTGGGGCAGGGGTAGAAGTGGCCGAGAAGTTCCAACCCTCTAACCTTGTGGTTGGTGTGGTTGATTCCCCCGGTAACCAGCCCACCATCCCTAGAGACTTTCCACCTCATTAACATAAAAGTTGTGACTAAGGGGGCTTTTTTGAATAAGAAAAGACGCTCCTTTAGCTTTTCAGGCTTTAAGGCTGTTATCACTTAGGGAATTATAAGGATTTTAGGAGCTATATGCCAGGAAAGGGGCAGCTGCACAATGACCTAAATACGTATTTCTTATTATATCGCAATATCACAGTCATATACTCCCTTTCTTCAGAATCCTCTCATTCCCAGTACACATAAGATGGTTTGTTCTCCAAATCAGGCAAACCCTTCTTTACAGTTTAAGTAGCACCAAAATTGGTCTGTTTTGTCCAAGTCAAAATAGGCAGAGGATGACTTCAGATATAGAAAGAGAAACTGGAAGTACATCAGAGAATTAAGTTTTCGATCATCATGACATTGAGATTCTTCCAAGGATTAATCTTTTATTAACTGACACAGCTCATCAAAGTATATTTCTAACTTAAGTTTTAAATTATCATCCTAGATGATATGTTACATTTGTTAGGAATACTGGTATAATTCTAACTCCTCAAAAAGTTTACTTCTTTATGTAGCTCATGTACCAATACTTCTTCAATGAAATTACCTAAAACAGGTTTTAATAAAATACCACAAGGACTACCAAGATGGTAGGCTTTTATAGAAATTAAATCATGTGTTTCAAGGTAGACTTTAATTTTCCCGGGACTGATTCATATTAAGATAACAGCCTTAAAAAGGATTTAATACATAACTGCCTCATTCCAAAAAAGGATTTGAAGCAGCGAGGGAAAGTAAGTGGAGTTTAAACTACAGCTTTAAGGCAATTATGACAGTCAACGTTTAATGCTTAGTCGACACTGCAACTTTTAGGGTTGCACCAATAATGCCATTAAAAAAGAAAAGAGGCAACAACTCATTGAGTAATGTCTGAAGCTCCATAATTAACTAACCTGCCTACAGATCTTCAAACTCCTCTTTCTCTTCCAATCCACCTTTCATGTAATGTTCTGACAGACTAATAATAAGCTATTAACTACATGTGGATGTTAAAAAAAAAAAAACTGAAGTTATTACTACACATACCTGTATTTTTCCTCTCAAAATCCAGAAGGTAATTTTAATGATTCTTCCAATTAATAGTGTTTAAATGACAGTAAATATAATGCGGTATTATCACCACTGTTGCAAATCCCAGATCAGACTAAAATTTTAGCCGGCTCCTACCCACCTTCCGATGCCACCCCCGCCCAACAACCTCCCACAGGCCACTCTACTGAGTCTAAACCAAAACATCTTACCCTTCAGCACCTGGGATGGCCTTGCCAGGATTCGAACCTGGATCATCTGTATGGTCAGACAGAGGCTTCCAATGAGCACAAGACCAACTGCGGGTGCAGATCCCTTCCTCACAATTAAAATTCTGAAATGCCAGGCATTTTCAGAGACCCCAGTTTGCAGAAAGACAGGTTTTACCAGATACTAAAAAAAAGAACTCAGGGAAAAAAAATGAACATAAGGATCAGGCTACATGTCTCCTAGCTAAAAGATACTTCCATACACACCATCTCCTTTGGTCATAATCACCATGAAAGGGAGTGAGGTAAAGATCACCCTAACTTTTTACAAATGAAGTTAATGCAGAGGTGTCAGAACTCTTCTCATGGGACTAAACTACTCAAAATGGTAAGGAAAACCAGGGGTGTTCTAGAAACTTTACCTTGGCATTTTTCTGGATTGGGCAAAACTTTGGACCTCTTTTGAGGCAAATTTATTCGAGGATCCCCAACTGTCAGTCCCAAAATAGTACCGGCCGGAATTTCTGCTGGTGATGTTATTCCTTTTACAAAAACAAAAACAAAAAACCAAGCTTTTACATCATTCACAATATATATATATATTTGCTTGTATCTTCAAATTTTTTAATAAAGATTTCTTCTTGGGCTAACTATTAAAAAACATATATTCTTCTGTCCCATTAATACTTTTAGAGAGTAAATTAACATTTGTAAACAGTAACGTTTCTTACCAAAAACATTAACATAATAGATTATTTTACAACACGAACATGTATATTTCCATCAGTGATAACTACAGTAGCTTCACACACAAGCTTAATTGTGTACAACTAAGTATAGACCTTAGTTTAGTACCCGGTCTACGTGTTTACCTATCATATCAGAATGCCGGTTATTCGGAATGCTAACAGAAACTCAAATAGAGCTTCCTATGTGCACTGAGTCAGGCACCTCTCTTCTGTGTTCTCTTGCCGTAATACGACAAGGAGTTACAAGTTAAAAAGCACTGCTCTGTGTAGTTAGCCCAACTGTAGAACACTCTTTTAGCCCACTTCCCACTCCGCCCTTCTTCCCCAAGCCACCCAGTCAGTATTCCCTCTGAATACCTCCCAACAACTCAAAAATGGCTTCTTGTCTGTGATGAAGGGAAACGCTATCAGGATTCTTACAGGTTTCAGTCCACCAGTGGTGAGGCGCCTTCTCTGTGTCCTCTCCTTCCTGAAAAATAACAACTCCTATTCACCAGACAAATAATGAATCAGACCTGATCATTTTGTTGTGGTTGACAGATGTGGCCAACTGCCACCATATTTAACACAATAATTCACACCAGCCTAACTACTCTTCTAATTAGAGGCAACGACATACACTTCTCTCAAGATTTCACACACTAAAACCCACAGCCCTGGTTTTCAGAGAGGTCCCTGCATTCTTCTCTCCGCACACTCCTGACAAGAGGCCTGCTCCTCGCTCCTCTCCCACTACTGCCAAGTGCATACCAATTTAAGCGGTAACACCTTCCCCGCCCATGAAAAACCAAACCTATGCTGTTTGAAGCAATCTGCGGCAAACGGATATCTTACAATTACGTTATTCCTAGAAACTTCAAATAAGATAAACAAATATTTTACTTATATTTTTCCCAGACAGAACCAGGAATTGAGCAAGGTTTCAAAAAGCACCTCAGGGGTGCCTGGCTGGCTCAGTCGGAAGAGAGTGCGACTCTTGATCTCAGGGTCATGAGTTCGAGCCCCATGGTGGGTATAGAGATTATTTAAATGAATAAAAAAATTAAAACTTAAAACAAAACAAAGACAAAAAAAGCACCTCAGTAGCAGGTGCACACCAAGAAAGAGAACCTATAGCCATGATTCATACTGAAGTTCACTGAAGGAGGATGTGCTCCTACTGATTCTACAGAAGCAACCTGTTAACATACGGGCTATTTACCTCACAGAAACTCAGGTAGTATAGCTTGTTGGTTTAAAGTACAGGCTCTGGAACCAAACTTCTTAGGTTCAAATCCTCCTTGAGCAACTGATTAGCTAGAGTGGAGCCCCTACTCTGTGCCAAGCACTATGCTAAAAGCACTGGGGACAGAGTCCTTGCCGTCACCAAGTTCAATGTGAACATCGCATAAGTACACAAGCGAATCTAGACATATAAACTGAGGAAATATGCAAAATGCAATGAAATAAAATACAATTTATATCATTTAACTTGAGGGTCAGGAAGGGATTCCAGAGGGAAATGATACAGAGGCTGAAATCTGAAGAATAAGGAAGGTTTAGCGAAGCAGAGAGGGGGTGAGGGCAGAAAGTTCAGCCAGGTAGAGAAAAAGCAGGTGTGAAGGCTTCAAGGGAGCGGAGACCTGACATATTCTAGGACCTGAGAGGCCAGCACGGCTGAGCAGCAGATGTGGAGAGACAGACCAGACAGGCAGGAAGGCACAAGAGAATGCAGTCACGTGAAGGGCTGTGGGTTTCACCACAAATACAGTAAGAAGCTATTCAAAAGCTTTTAATCGGGGAAATGACATGATGTGAATCAATTGTTCAAAGATCATTCTGTTTCCTGCGTGGAGGATGGAGTGAAAAGAAGGAAGAGCAGAGGAAGTGAGGAAGCTGCTTCAGTGTGCAGGCAAGAGACACAGTGGCTGAGGCCGGTGTGGAAGCAACAGAGAGGGAGACAGAAGTAGCCTTTGATTTTTAAAGTATCTTTCTTCTAACAGCTCAAAATCTGTTCCGACCTAACATCTTATTTGACCCTGTCAAATCTGTGAGAGGCACCGGCACGGAAGGGTTAGTTGCACTAACACTGGGAAACAAACCGAATCTGAACCCGGAGTGTCTGATTCCTAACCTCATCGCTCCTCTCTAGACCTGTGTGGTCAACTTGGTAGCCAATGGCCACAGAGAGCTATTTCTATTTAATTTCTAGTTAATTAAAATTAAATGAAGGTACAAATTCAGTTCCTCAGTCACCCTAGCCACATTTCAAGTGTGCAAGAGCTACGTGTGGCTAATGGCTACTGACTCGGCGCCACAGAAGAATATCATCCTTGCAGAAAGTTGGACAGTGCCGCACCAGACACATTGCTCTTAAGCTTTTAGGGATCACAGACCCTTAAAACTAGCCCCAGAGAACCTCGTACACTGCTGGAGGGAATGCAAGCTGGTGCAGCCACTCTGGAAAACAGTATGGAGGTTCCCCATAAAGTTAAAAATAGAGTTACCCTACGACCCAGCAATTGCTCTACTAGTTATTTATCCAAAGGATGCAAACATAGTGATCCAAAGGGGCGCCTGCACCCCAGTGTTTATAACAGCAATGTCCACAATAGCCAAACTATGGAAAGAGCCCAGATGTCCATCGACAGATGAATAAAGACGATGTAGTATATATATACAATGGAATATTACTCAGCCACCAAAAAAAAGAAATCTTGGTACTTGTAACGATGTGGATAGAACTAGAGTGTATTATGTTAAGTGAAATCAGTCTGTCAGAGAAAAACAAATACCATATGATTTCACTCATATGTGGAATTTAAGAAACAAAACAGAGGATCACAGGGGAAGGGAGGGAAAAATAAAACAAGACAAAATCAGAGAGGGAGACAAACTGTAAGAGACTCTTAACCATAGGAAACAAACTGAGGGTTGCTGGAGGGGAGGAGAGTGGGGGCTTGGGGTAAGTGGGTGATGGGCATTAAGGAGGGCACGTGATGTAATGAGCACTGGGTGTTATATACAACCGAACTCTACCTCTGAAACTAATAATAGACTATATGTTAATGAATTTAAATGAAACTAAACTAAAAAAAAAAAAAAAAACTAGCCCCAGAAAATATGCACCAAACAAGTACAAACAAACAAAAAACAGCACACACTTTCAGTAATTTTAAGGGCTCTGTTACCCACAAAACACAAAACTCACAAACTACAAGGGTAGTCTGCATTTAAATAAGAACAAGTCAGTTTACTTATTAGATTCACTGAGATCTGTGCTCCTAGAAGTGAAAGATGATGACATATTTGATAATAAGCAGAGGTAGAGAAATAAACATTTATAGACCATGGTCCCAAATGCTACCGAAGTATGTTAGGTTTCACAAATTTGCTAAGAAGGACACGAGTGGAATAAAGCACCACAGTCACACTGACTCTTACGGTCTGGACAGAAGCAGCTTTTAGTGCCTCAGTCAGGATGGAGTGGGAAAGTGGACCGATCAACCGGAGCCTGTTCATCTCCATCGTCAAGTCACTGAAAGAGAGAAAAGGTCTTAAGATGGAAACTTCCATCATATACAGTGTCTGAGCCACTGGTGAAAACAGAGCAAGTCTTCACTAAAACTGTTCAGCGGGTTCAGAGCAAATTCAGCCTGTACCTGATTATAATGCCTGTGGCTGGAGAGATCCAAGAAGATGGTTGACATGGATCTCTAGTTCCATCACCAATGACTTTTTTAACGGGTTTAGCATTTTCTCCATCATCTTTCCGTTTTCTTTTCTTGCCAATTTTTTCATCAGGCAGTACAGTTTGGCTTTTTTCTTCGGATGTTGTCGGCAGGAGGCTGGGGATGCAGACGGCTGATTTGATGGGTTCCACACACTGGCATGCTGCTTTGAGTTCCTCTAAAATATCCTAAGGAAATATTGAAACACTTCAGGCGGTTTAGTTCATGTTATTTTTTACTCCCTTTAAAAAATTTACATCTTTATCTCCAAATTAAATGAAATTCATGATTATCAAAAAGCTTTCTGGCGCTTCTAAACAGTGCACGGCATTTGAAACAAAAAAACTCCTAAGTGTCAGGGGCGGCCTGGGTGGCTCAGTCAGTTAAGCATCTGCCTTTGGCTCAGGTCATGATCCCAGGGTCCTGGGATTGAGTCTCGCATCGGGCTCCTTGCTCAGCAGGGAGCCTGCTTCTCCCTCTACCTGCTGCTCCCTCTGCTTATGCTTTCTCTCTCCCTCTCTCTGACAAATTAAAAAAAAAAAAACTTAAATAAATAAAATAAAATCTTAAAAAAAAAAAACTCCATTTACGAAGATTAATGAAAACAACACAACTACTCTGAACAATTAACGTTTTTTTGAAAATGAGATTAAAGAGAAAATTTACAGCCTACCATAAAAAAGCAGTGAATAGACCAAAAAAATAAATAAATAAATGAATAAGAGAGATTAAAAATCATCAGAATTACTCGAAATAGCTTCTCATCATCAAAGAGGCTCTGACAAGCACCTAGATACCAGTGAATTCAGGTCTCATAGGAGCATTAGACCAAATGCAGCATTTCAAGCCACTGCATAATATGGTGGGTTTTCATCTCTACTTTCACTATGGCTTACTAAAAAGTGAAAGGTCAAGATTTGCTTCATTTCATATTCACATAACATTCTTCCCTATGTTCAAATACCAAGCTATCAGCCCAACTCTCATACTATTTAAATTTCCAAAGCACTGATTTCAATGGTAATTAAGAATGCAGTAACAGAGTCTCTAGGAAATAATCTCAAGGATTATACCTGTTTAAGCGTTGGATGAAGCCAGATCCACAACTGCCTGCTCTCAGAAGTGTGACCGGGGGTCCTCTCACACTTCCAAATAAATGTGACAGGCCCCAACATCTCTCGAGGGTATTTGTTTGCCCGATAAAGCAGGACGCTACCTTGGCGCTTCCCAGACAGGCAGTGAACTGCCGCGAAAGTCAGTCCTGACATAAACAAAGACAAAATGCCATGATCTCCAGTGCTGAGATGGCAGTGTCGTCTCCCGATCGCCCTACTGTTACTTGTTGTCTATCTCCATGAGGGATGAGGTGTTGGTTTTGATCACTGCACAGATCAAAGCCTGGCACACAGTAAGTTCTCAATCAACAGTGAATGAATGATTTAATGAGGTTTGAGTTTCTGCCCGACTGAACTCACTCCACCAGAACAATGGCTCTCTCACTTTACACCTGACAATGTCAGAAATGATTTGAAACCACCCTACCTTCCCAAACATTAACACACTCCCTGGGAACAAGAACTGTCTCACGCATTTTGAGATATGTTTGAATTCCAAAATGCTTACTTGCTCATGACATGAATAAATATGCAAAGACTAAAATAGCGCTCAGCTTTGAAACAGGTTTACCTGCATCTACGCTACACATCGGAGAAAGTGCCTTCAGTATTTCTTCCTCTTTGCCCTTCAACTCCAAACAACAGTAGTAGGATAAATCCTGCACAGAGGGAGAGACATAATTAAATACTTAGGAAGTGACATGGGTGAAAACTGTGAGCAGCCAAAAGCCACATCAGAAAAACTTCTACAGGTCCACGACACAGACCACACTGCTAAAGCTATCATTTCATAAGTCAAAATCTGAAGCCTGTCTATTCCTAGGACATTAGCAAATGTTCTTAAACCAACTGAAAGCAAAATCAAAATGAATTTTCATTTAAAATGTTAAGTTATGGTGTCCTTTTCAGAAAGAAAATCTGTGGGTACACCTGGCTGGCTCAGTCAGAGTTTGCTGGAAGCAACCCAAATGTCCATTGTTGGATAAACAGATAAACCAGATGCGGTATCACACACAATGGAGTACTACTATTCAGCGTCAAAAATGAGGGAATTCCAACACACGATACAACATGGCTGAACCTTGAAGACATTATGTTAAGTGAAATAAGCCAGTCTCAAAAGGATAAATACTGTGTGATTCTACTTATATGAGGCATCTAGAATGATCAAATTCCTAGAGACAGAAAATAGAATGGTGGCTGCTGGAAGCAAGAGGGTGGGCAATGGGGAGTTATTGTTTAATGGGGGGAGTTTCAGTTTGGGAAGATGAAAAAGGTCTGGAGATGGACGGTGATCATAGTTACACAACAACGTGACTACAGTTAATGCCACAGAACTGTGCACTTCAAAATAATTAAAGGGGGTGCCTGGCTAGCTCACTCCATAGAGCATGCAACTCTTGATCTCAGGGTTTTAAGTTCGAGCCCCACGCTGGGTGTAGAGATTACTTAAAAATAAAATCTTTAAAAAAAGATAATTAAAGTGGTAAAATTTGATGTTATGTATATTTTACCACAATTTTTTTTAAAGGTTCTTATATTGATTATTCTGCTACAATTGCTCTCAAGATCTTGATATCAGACAATCTTAATATCAATGGCTTTCAAAATGTGGCCAAGGCTTCCAGTTAAGGAATGAACAGGTCATGGGGATAAAAGGCACAGCATAAGGAATACAGTCAATGATACTGTAATAGCACTGTGTGGTGACACATGGTAGCTATGCTGTGGTGAGCACAGCATAACACAGAAGTTGAATCACTATGTTGTACACCCGTGACTAACATAACATTATGTGCCAACTATACTCAGATAAAAAAGTTAAAAAAAAAAAAAAATCTGGCCAAGGTCATCCTGCCATCCAGACAGACCCCGTGCAAAGAGCAAATTTCTAAGTATGTACTGGAAGAGAGAAAGCAGTTGATTTAGCAACTGGGGGAGGGGAGAAGGACAAGATAAACACTATTACCAGGCTCTAAAACAAACTGTCCTCTCAAAAAATTTAAAACAAACTTCCTAGCATCCCACTGAATCATAAGCATCTAGAACAGCATTTTGAACATAGCTATAAGGGCACACAAATATTTGTTGTAGATGAACGACTTCTAAATGAATCAATGCCAAAGAAATCTCGAACATGACCACCAAAACCCTGCAGGACCTAGTTCTTACTTACTTCTCCCGAACTAACCTCACCTTCATGTTATCCTCGATCTCACTCTCTTCGTCTTTATCACACCGTTCTTCCCTCTTACCTGACTTCCTCTGCCTCCCCGACTCCCCCATTGTCTTACCCCTTAGGGCTGAGCCCAGACATCACTTCCATTTTGTCTCAACAAAAAGAAAAAGAAAACCAGTTGGAAGAGCATACCTGAAGGAGGCAACAGTTTGTCATGGCTCGGTAGCAGGCTCTGTGGCTCTTCACCGTCGGCCTCTCCCCGAGACAGTAGCCCCACTTCTTGACCATGTGAAACCGCTTGGCGTGCCAGATGTGAGTTTCTAACCATATGTTCTTCTTTTGTCTACGGTTAAATTCTAGCACCCGTTTTTTGTGACATCTTCGAGCTTTATGGCATTTATTCTTTGAATGTTCTTTTTTCTGATGTACTGCTTTCTCAGCCTGTGGTTTCAAGGAGAGAGGTAGATCCTAGTTTGTAACTATCTCAAAACAAAGTTACATGTGAGGAATTCAAACAACTAACTTTAGATTAAGTGGATTCCATTAATATGCTTCATTTTTTTTTAAAAGATTTTATTTATTTATTTGAGAGAGAGACAGAGAGAGCAAAGCAGGGGGAGGGGCAGAGGAAGAGGGGGAAACAGACTCCCGGCCAAGCAGGGAATCCGACACGGTGCCTGATCCCAGGACCTGGAGATCATGACCTGAGCCGAAGGCAGACGCTTAACCAACTGAGCCACCCAGGCACCCCGGTATGCTTATTTTTTTTAACTTGATTATGTTTCCAAAGAAAGAGCAGAAGGGGAGGCAACAGAGTGAAGATTTCAGAGATGGGCAAACTTAGAGAGGAAGCACAGTCCTATCACTTATTAACTGGGCAAGCTTTGTGGACTATGAGGATTAGAATATTTATAAAAGGCTCCACACAGTAACGCAAGCTTACTGTCGCTATTCATGTTAGAGAGCAAGAAAATAAATCAGATGTTAGCTTTTTTGTTACTGGTTTTATTGTTTTTTTCTAACCTCTGAGATTAGAACTAAATGCAAAACATAGGATGAAAAATATAAAGTGAGGAAAACCTACACATTTCATGTTGGTTAGGTCCTGAGAGACAAATGCCAAACTGATCACTGGGAAACAAACCTTACGTTACATCTAGAAAGCACAACATTCCTGTTCGGTTTTCACTCTTAATCTCCTTCATAGCTGAGCAAAACTTTTGTGGGGGAAAAAAACAAACAAAAACAAAAACTCCTCCCCCTCAGTCCGTGGGCCGCTAAGGACACACTCTATGCTGATGAATCCTAACCCCGCCCAGTACGTAGCAGTACACTGCAGGCACCTCCTGGAGAACTTCTGGGTCAATTAGCAAAGACACGGGGAGCTTAGACAATCTGACAACGCCCACGCCAAGGATTCTGGTGAAGCCAAAAACAACTAGACTTGAACAAAAATTAAATCCAAGTTTCAAGTCTTCAACGTTGAAAAAGTCAAAAGGCAAACACCAGGCATTGATGCTGCTTTTTTTTCTTAACCTTCCAACTTCGAGCTGGCCACATCCCCAAAATGCAGAATTAAAATCGCTTATGTGGTAAGGTCAGGATTGTATTTTAAATCTGGCAGGGGTTATGCTGAGCGAAATAAGTCAATCAGAGAAAGACATGTATGATATGACCTCACTGATACGAGGAATTCTTAATTTCAGGAAATGAGCTGAGGGTTGCTGGAGTGGGGGGTGGGGTGGGAGGGATGGGGCGGCTGGGTGATAGACACT